GCGCGCTCAGCCCGGGGCGCGCAGCCCCGGCGGAGCCGCGCAGCCTTCTCGGGGGCGGGCTGAGCCCGGGGGTTGTTCCTGCAAAGTCTCACAGAGTCCTCGCCCCCCATGTTGGCTCCTTCTCTCTCATTTATTTATCGGTGGTTTCCCCTCCTGGCTCTTGAAACCCCAGAGAAAAGGGGGAGGGGGGCGGTGCGTGTTTCCTTGCCTTTGGAGGCAAGCTACAGCCAACTGCAACTGGACCCTCCAAAGCTCATGGCTGCTGCCATCTGATAAGAAGAAGAAAAAGCAAGACCCAGAAGCTCCTTTCCCTCTCCCACTCTCCCTTCACGGAGTATGCTCATTCCGTTCCCGGATCTTTTCTCTTCGAAGCCTCCCTGTTCCCACATCCGCCCCAAGCCACAGGTACCTCTGCCTGGGAGCCAAAGCAGCCTCTTCCATGACAACCATCTATGTTGATCCATGGAATAACCAGCAGATGCTGCCCTAAGACTGGTACAGCTGGTCCTTCCTCCCTCGGCTGTCCTGGGGGCAAGGCGCTAGGGGAAAAACGAAGTGGTCTCCAGCAAACCTGCCCAGAAGAGGACTGCTGGCTCCCTTCAGCAACACCCCGCACTTTCTCTGTCACACGTAACAAGAAGAGCAATTCATAAAGGCAGTTGCTGCTGTAAGGCTGCACCCAGTAAATTACCCTTGTCACCTAAGCCCCGTCAGGAGTAAGTATTGTTCTTCAGTCGGGAGACTGAGGCTGTCTTCCAACTGTTGGAAGTCCTGACAGCTAATGTCAGTACGAGTTGCGAACTGCGCTTCTTAAACACCACTAACCCCTCCCCACTCCCCCGCCCAGACGTTTCGACAAGTGGGATCGCAGCGCCTTGGGTTTCTCCCCGTCTCCCAAGCTCACAGGGGCCCCTCCCGCCCCCGGGGGCGTACCGCCACACCGGGGTCTGCGGCGGCTGGGAAGTCACACGAGTCCTATTTCCATTACAGGAACACGTATCTAAGCCCTGAAAGTTTTGATTCCATAGAGTCCTCAGCGGTTTTGGACACAGGTGACTTTAAAGTTGCAGTATCAGTTTTAACTATCATTTCTACATACTTCAGAGCCCGAGAAGCCCCGTCTTTCATCTAGAAAGCCATTCCAGCTCTATTATTTCTAAGGAAGCACTTTATCTACAGCACTCTTCATCCCTTACTTCTTATCTCATTAACTTCCAGGTATTTTCATTTTTTGGTGAATGTCTCAGTCATTAGGGATGTCCAGAGAAAACCTCTGTAGGGTCACAGTAATTGTAATGTTAAACTTAGGAAAAACTACCACAAAAGCTTTCCAGGAGATTGCATGGCAGGAACTGGGCGTGCTATCAGTTAGTCATGTACGGCTGTATTTTCCACAGAAAATTAATGGGGTTTGCCACTAATACTAAGGCAAACTCATGATGACAGAACCACAAGCAAAGATACTCATTTAAAGAGACAACTTAAAAAGATCCTGATGCAGACTTCTGCTTAAGATAAGACAACACGACTCCATCCACTTCACTGCGGATCGGCAACAGCTGATAACCTGTCCTGTGCTCATTAGGCCAAACTAAGCATGTATTTACTGAGGAGATATTTTGATCTACTTTGCTTCAATCTTGTCAGTCCCAAAGAATTCAGGAAAAGCAGCCACAGTAATCAAGACACAAAATAATGCTATCAAAGCGTAAGAAAGAGCAAAAGGTCATTGGTGGAGTAATATGGGACACTCAAAAAACCACAGGAATTATGTGGCAGAAGAGGAGGAGGCAATGTAAGAAATGACAATCTTTTCCTCGTACTGACATTCCCTGGTGAAATAACAGCCCAAATTGTTCTGATGTAGCAGAGCTGAAGATGGGGTACCAGTAGCTGCCTAAAAATGATGCAGGAGAATCACAGACAGACAGTTAGGAGAGATTCCTGCAATAAATGTACTAAAAAGGGGGTGAAGAGCAAGTAGGGTTAAATCTGTTGAATTCCCAGCCTTTTCCTTTTCTTGTGTCTTAGTTCCTGATTATGGTTTTATCTCTAGAAGGATTGGTCCTTAGGCCATAGGGCACCCGGTTATGAGAAAACACTTGTTCTGGGTAGGGGCAGATGATTTTTTTTTTTTTTGGTGTTACCATAGAGGGCCACAACTGGTTCAGAGTTATTCATTTGGCAAGTCACACACTTCAGTAAAAGTCAGCAAGAGTAAGGAGAATTTGGTCCAGCGTTTAGAAGTGATAATCAGGTGATCTATTTTCACAAGGTTGTAACAGGATAGCTTTTAGCCTTTGCCAGAACTGCACGACACAGTATTTGCTATATTCAGGTACTTCATACATATAAGGCAATGTACATCTCTTGTTCCAAGTATGTTTATCTTGGATTTACATTGTTACCAAATGAAGTATACAGCTGTAGAGCTTGACTTCGGTGGGACTCCTCATATGTAAATAGTGACATAACTGTTTAGCAGATGAGGCCTAATTAAGTGGGAATCAGTCATACATTTTTCCTTCTCTCAAACAAAAGAATGTGAAAAATACTGTAGGAGCATTACTAAAAAGTCATGGTGCTTGAACCAAGCTGTCAAACACCCCAGAATCCTAAGTGAGCTGCAAACGTTCATCCCCTTGCTTAAAACATCAACTAAAACAACGGGCTGCTATTGGTTAGCTTTTCCACGTATTTGAAAAGCTAACAAAACGTGCAGATGACTGTTCTGCTGAGCACTTACTAAAAGACACCTTACATCCATTACGCACTAGCTACTTGGTGCTTCTTTGGAGATCACTGGAAAAAACTGCCTCAAACATCAGTGGTAGCAATCCAAGTGGAATCAGACGATAACAATATCTGTCAACTTTATAGAGATGCTTCTTAAATAAGAGCTGTATTACATCATCACCAGAGTGAAATGCGGTTGCCAACTTTTCTACATGCCAGCAAACTAATGGTGTATTTGAAAGAAAAGTCCCTCAGGGGCCGTTGTGTGCTAGTTTGGCTACTAACCTGGTGTTTCTTTAACAGGCAGATTTGGAACCTGCCCTGCTACTGCCTGGAGGATAAATAGCACGTTCCTAGTACATCTTTAGGGTAGCCTCCCATAAAGTGTTGATTTTCTGTGCCCTATCTACTCTTCCTGCAGGTTATCCTGCTCTGCTATCTCCATCTTTTCCATGATCTCTGTACTGCAAGCGTTAGCAGTCTTTCACTCTACCTCCTTCCTCCTTGGAATAGTTTTCCTTTCTTTCCAAGCCTACTCGTCTTCAAACCGCTCCCAATTACGTATATGCCAGGCTGGTAACATGCAGATGAACATCATAGTCATGATCCCACTCAGATACTAAACAAGCCTCCCACCAATGCTTAGTCCTCCTTTAAAGCACTAGAACATTTCAGTTTTCTTTCAGTCTTCTCAAAATACCAGGAAATATTATGGAGTAAGCAGGCTGCAGGAAGTGCGCTGTCTGTATTTTTACCCCAGGGTGCACAGAGCAGACGACTCCATGTGAATTCACCTTGAAATGCCAGTTTGAAAGGAAGATCGCTTCTGTTCTGATTTAAAAGTAGGTCTTCAGAGGCACCAGCAAGGCTACCTCAGCACTTGAGCACTCGTGGCACAGGCGAGATGCCCCCAGGACAGGACCTCCTGAGGTCCAGGACAGGACCTCAGCTCGGGCTAACCTCAGCGCTGCGTGGGAGCAGGGGGTCGGTACTGCCTTGGGAGGCAGACAGTTTGTATGTCGACTCATTTTAAAGCAACAGGTTTTGCCAGACTTATGCTGACATCTGGTAACATGAGGAAACCAAGGGTGGCTCCAGCTTGGTACCTCCAGTCTGTGGGTCCCTATCAGGGGAAACCAGACCTGACATCAGTCAGGACAACCTCAGGGCTTCTGTAATCCAAGGTGTTTGAAGTGAACACCTTGAGGCTGGCGTCTTGGCTGGCGTGCCTGCAATGTCGAGACGACAGCGGAGGCTGGTGTGGGTGGCAACGTGGCTGCAGCAGGGGCGGGTATGCCAGCTTCGTGCCAGATGCCACGCACCCACGCCGGGGAAATCCTTTGCTCTCCTCGCTTTCGGCTGGTGCGAGGTTTGCCTGCATTGCTTCTGCAGCGCAAAGGGACCTGCAGTGAGGGTTTTGGAAACTGTCTGCTCCTTTTACGCTAAGTATTTATTTGCCGTCAGCTATGGTAAAAAGTTTTGACTGAAATATTTTGGTTATTTATGTGGAAGGCATGATTCAGGAACACTTCCAGAATTAAATTTGCTTGCTTTGTTTTTCTCGAGCTACCACGGCTGCAAATGTAGTCCAGACTATATCTTATCTGCTTGCATGGCACTCATTCAGGTTAGCTGCAAAAGACAGGAGACGAGATAAATGTAATGGAAACTATTGGCCCACCTAAGTTCTCCTGGGTGACCTGAGCAAAATGAGCCACCAGGTATCTCTTACTAGAATAAAACCAGAGATAGGGAGAGAAATCAGAACCTGGAGAAAAAAAAAGAAACACGACAGCCGTAATCTGTTACTATTGCAACCTGATTACTGGATTCTCTGACAGCGGACCCTTTCTTTTGGCATTAAAGAATATGTCCTGCTTCATGTAACCACAGGTTACATGCATATTTGGGCACGTCAACCTTTACAACTGCTTCTTTCTTCAATTCGATTTAAAAAGAGCAAACATA